GAAACAGTTGCTGATGTCAGATTCCCCCCTGAGCCTTACTTATTTAAAAAGTGGCACATGTGAAGTGTTAAACTTCTTACAGAAGTACAAGAAAAATTGCCGAAGTTGTCCAACTTGAAGCTGACAATTAAAAAGCACTTGAAATACTAAAAGTCAGGAGACTTGAATTGAAAGCTGAGCTGTGGAGATCAAAATATCACTGAATGCTGACTGATAAGGGTGCCAGTGGATAACTCGTGATTTGATAAGAAAACTACATAAGGAACATTTCTTCCGGAAATTTTTGTTTGTGATAACACAAAACATAAGCCTCTGCAAACATATTTGCCATGAGATTTTTCGATTCCATGACATTCATGCCAGCATCAGTTGCGCCAATTGTTTGTTCTACAAGCAATGTGAACTCAGCAAAGGCACAGTGAAGTGAATTCTTCTGGTGTAATAAGCGCTATTTTCAGAACTATTGGAATTTATTATCGAACAACTTGAATACTTGGAAAGCAAAGAACACATGTTGTGTCCAAATTGTTTCCTTGCGCTGAACTGCCCCAGATAAAATATTTAGACAAAACAAACAAATCGACTTTCAAATTTTGCTGAATTAATCTTGAAACTTTTTAAAACCCGGCTAGTTACTAAACAATGACTGACCAATAGCCGATCATGCTCACGAAGATTACAAACAAAAAAATGCAAGGTACAAATGTGGTGCTCAATCATTTATCATTTGACATATTCTGTTTTATCATAAAATATACTAAAAACAAATTTGTAAATAGCGCAAAGTATTATTAATAAATTCCGGAGTCAATGGAAACAGCTTCGCCGGAGTAGCTTCGCCCCGCGTACAAAGAAATCCAGTAGCACCATCAGCATCGGATTTTCGCACCGATTGTCCGGATGATGCCGCGTATCTTTGTATTGAATAAGCATTCAAATTTTTGTGGATCGATCGCCAAAACACAAAGCAATTGATACTATCACGTGTTTATGCGAAAATTCTGGCTTCAGCAGTGGAAACTGCTCGATTAATGGAAAAATCAGGCCGAGTTTGCACAGCTGCATTTGCTAGTATCAGGAGATTCACATGGATATTTCGCACTGACCTGAAATATGCGACACAATATTTTGGACAACCTGGAATATGGGGAAAATAACAAAGAATAAGCATGAATCTTCAATTTGAAGGCATTTTTTGTCTTTCCTGATTTGAGAACAATTATTTTATGGGCCTTAGAATATGTGCTGCAAGCGGATTGTCTTCCAAAAAGCCCATGATAATCATTCTGCCGCTACTCAGCAAGACGACTTCTGTCGAGGATCCATAAAATTATTTTAAATTTGCTCATTTTCACTTTGAAGTTCCGTATCTCTCTGTTGATTTTCTGTTACGAGTGAATAAGTTAATCCTAGCCCCGATCCAAGTTAGGTCCCCAGAAACAGTCAGCCAATTCGTCGTCATTTCCGATTTAATCGCTTTAAAGTTGGTAGAAATTCGGTAATTTTATCAAAAAGTAATGAATTTCGTTCCGCCTAATGGCATCTTCAGTGTGCAGCACTGTTTAACAGTGACGCAGGTCGCAAACTATCTATAAAATAGCAGTTATGCAATATCTCCAGTAATATTCATCCTACAAAACTTCTGAATGAATTTCAAAGCCGCTTGGATAATTAAATTAAGCCGTAATGGCTTAAAAATACTTGTAAGTTGTCACTGACTCTATGAAAAAGCGATAGTTTTAAAACACTGGAAAGCATTTTGAATGCATAAGTGAAAAACAGTGATAATAATAATGCTAATGAAAGTGGCGATAACAACGACACAGTCACAACAAAAGTGGCTGTAATGATAATGTTAATAATGTTTTTTTCTTGGTTTAGTAAGAAGTCCTGCTTACATTTTTGTCGAACTCACCTCTGCTGCTCGTAATTTTAGCTATAGTGAATTTTTAAACACAAATTATTAGCACTTTTGATTTCCTGATTACATTGGGGCTCAAGAACTCGACGACCGAATGCTAACACCCTAGCACTTTTATGCTTTAAAGTAAATATAAAAGAAAATTCTTTATAATAATATACCGGTAATAAGGACCAAACTTTCAGTTTCGAAAGAAAGGTAATATCAGATTTTAACTTCTCGTACAAAACAGCATCCTTTTGGTGAATAATAAAAATGCTTCTCTAGTT